CTGCAGGTTTTCATTTACCACATAAGCTTAGTTTGTACAATATTAGGATTACATAAGAAAACGGAAATGAAAAAATAATTCAAATCCCTTTTTTAGTAAAAATAAAACATTTTATTGCCTACGATGCAGTAATATGGTATTCCTTTGACGTACTTTAATCATTTGCAGCAATGTGTGCATCTGCAACTAAAAAAAATACTTTAACAAATGAAAAGCTCAACCATTTCTACTTTACCTAGCATCAGTACAGTGTCGAGCTGATTTGTTGATTTTTTTTTTTGATTAACCGATAAATAATTGTATTGCAATAGATGCTTATTGCAAGTTTATTTTTTTTTTTTTATTTGAACGTGGTGAAGCTAAAACTGCCATTTGTTGAGTTTTGTGTAGAACTTATTTACAGACAAAGTATGTTTGTATCTTAAATGCAAAATGTGTATATTTTTATACACCTTTTGTTTACTTGCTGCTCTCAGCGTGTTATTCTTTGAGAAAGTTGCCTTTTTTGAGTCTGTTCACTCCGGTTAACGATTAATTGATTACTAAATTGGTAGACGATTAATTCAACAACTGATTCATCACATCTCAGCCTGGTGCACCGACTTGATGGCGAGCGGCTCGTGGACGTCCGACGACCCGTCTCCTTGTGTTTGTGTTGTGCAGCGAGGGGATAAATTTAGCGCTTTAGCCCCAGACTGGAGGCAGCGGCCCTTTATCCTGCTCTGTCCTACTTATCCGAGCGCCGCTCTGTGTGTCCGTGGACCGGTGGGTTCACCTCGCGACGTTCCGCGGCAATCAAAACGCCCCGTATATTTTTATACGTGGCGTAATTTTTTTTTTGCAGAGTAGCCCTTGCTCTGTAACAGCTTGAACTTGTTAATGATGCTCACAGTTAGACAAAAACAACAACAGACTAAACATATTTAAATAGTGCGCAGCAGCAATCTGAGGCTGCCCTGGAACATGCCACGGATCCGGTGCGAATGCACGGAGCCGAGCCGGACCGAGACGCAGCCTGTCCTCTTTGTCCGGATCAAACTAAAACATCAAAGCTGGCGGGATTTAATGTTGCTCTCGGTTTCTCTAATGCGGCCAATTAGGAACAAGTCGACAAGTCGGTGTGCCTGAAGGCAGCCAATAGACCACGAGCATCCCGCTTCACCTTGGAAACACACCATCCCAGGGTGCATTTCCCTGCTGCCATGACAACGGAGAGGAGCTCTCCCTCTCTCATTCCCATACTCCCAGCGTCCCCCTGTGCTCTCTGTCTCTCCCTCTCTAAGTCTCCAGCAGAGGACGGTTCACGGATACAGCCAACCTGAACCCCAGACAAAGAGAATCACCTGCAGCTGTATCAACACACACAGGCAAACAATTATATTTTTACAATTATATTTTCTTTTTTTTTTTTACTATCAACTTCAACTAATATTTAAATCGGATGAAAAATGTTTGCCATCGTGGTAAAAATGAGTCAAGATTTCCAGAGGAGGGGTGTGAGGGATGACGCAAGGGTCTACAGGCCAGCTACGGCTGAGGTCAGGGGTCGAGGTTGTGAGATGACTACAGCCTCCACCAACTGGTGGCTTTGGACGCTGCGCCGGAGCTGTCAGAGGAGCAGCGGGGTATCAAGTGTCTTCCCCCTGCAGGCTCGCACGGGAATGTTCTTGAACCGCTGTCAAATCTAGCTGCTAAACAAGTGGGGGGTAAGAACCGAGAGCCGAGGTCGACGACTGCTACCGCGGAAAAGCAGAGCGCAAAGGTCGGGACTGAGAGAACGACATGAGTAAATACAGAAAAGTGTTAAGCTGGGCTCAAAGAGGATAACTCCAAGGGTTTTCCCTTGGAGATATATATATATATATATATATATATATATATATATATAAAATCAACAGTCTTCCATCATCTTTTTTTTTTTTTACATAACCTATATTTAAATCTCAAAACCAATGCAAAGCAGCTCTGGATCGATCAACCAGAAACTGGACACAGCCAATCAGAATCCCTCAGCGCTTTTTATACATTTTGAGCATGGAAATTTTATTTTTTTCCAGGCTCAATACTTTACATCAAAGTACTTTACATGAACTTTGACCGCGCAATAAAGGTTGATCAAACTCAAATGCACTTCAACATATAGACGGAGATCATCTTTCGAGTCCTTCAGTTTCTATTTCATTCGATATCTATCATGTATCAAAAGGACCTTCAGCACATTTTTTTCTTCTCCGGCGTACTCTGGTCCTTAAAGTAAATCCGATAACGTCGGAGTCTTGAGCACAAATGGAAATCGCATCGACCACGAAACCGTCAACTCTACCAAAGCACTCTGTGGGAATCCCGACTGAAAGCGTTTTTGTTTAAGACATCTAAAGCGTCGCATGGTTCAGAAGAATTTAATTATACAAACAAATTCTCAGAGTTTAGTGGCTGGATTCCAACAGAGATATGCAATGCAAATTGGTTTAGAGAGCAGGCCAATGCAAAGCAGCTTCTGGCCTGCTCTTCAACAAGAGAGACAACGCGTTTGGAGGTGAAGCAATGATAAGCTGTGTTAGGCAGTCAATTCACTGTGTGAATCTAAATGAAAAAAGAGGAACAAGAGGTGTCACAGTACAGTGTGTTTAAATCAATGTACCGTCAAGAAGGGTTTCTTAAGGACAACAAGTGAAGGACTTCCTCACAGTCTTAAACCGATTCCCATTTTTATGACTTCGCTGGTCTCTGAGAAAGAAGCAGAGTGCTGGCTCTCTCTCTCCTTCACTGCTGCTGGGGACTCCAGATAAATCTCTGCAATACCGCTCCCCTTTTTCAGGTTAAATCAGGTTAGCATTATAAGGATGTTAATAAGCTTTTGACCTAGGCATCAAAGATATAAAGCTGGTTATTTCGGTGTGGAGATGCTCTTTGGTTTATTATAAACTTAAAAAGATCTGACAGAGGCGTCCAAGGCTCCACCGGAGGCCGCTGATATTCAATGATGATATCGGACTTTACACATAATTTATCTTCATAATCCACTTTGTTTATGGCTTTGGTTGTCGGGTTTTATTTTAGATATTTAAAATATCTTCCAGTTCCCGTGGTCATTGCTCTTTACAAAATTAAAGTTTATTGGTCATTGAAAATGGCACCAAAACAAAAGTACTATTGCTTATATCTGTAACCAGGACAAGGAGCAACGAAGAGCTTCTGAGGAAAAGGGAAAGATAATCGGAACACAGAAAAGTTGATGATTTTTTTTTATTTTTTATTATTATTCTTTTACTTGGCCGTTTGCCTTCCTGTGCTATTCCACTCGGAAAAAAAATCTCGCTTACAGAACAGTCTGGGCTTTCTCCCGTTCACTTGGAGTCCCTCCAGTAGATTTTTCAACAGGGCCAATCAGCGAACAGCAGGACAAGTTGTGAGCGATGACATCAATTTTATGCACTGTTTTAGAATTGTAGTCCGCCTGGCAGCGGAGGAAGTGAATAAAGCCATTCACGCCATGCTGGCCACACTTCCAAGTCCTGAATTAGCATTAACTTTGAAGTGGAGGACGGTTGTTTACAGCACAGGCAATTTCCGGTAAGCTTCATGGCATCAAAGTGACTACCAGGAAGCATAAAGGATGTAAAAATGTTAGCAGCCTGTTAGAAGGAAGTAGACATATTTACAATTTCAAAATTACACTGAGGCAGATATTGCTTCTAGTGATCCTAAGTGAACTTGTGATTTTTTTTTTAATGTCAAATGTTCTAGACTAACTAAAATAATAAAATTCATCATTCATCTCGATGTGCAGACAGTTAAAGCTTTACAGGTGAATAAGTAATGACATAGTGACTGCTGGGAGCAGAAAAGTTCGTTAGAGAAACATTTGTTACAGATGGATTTTGTAGCTAAATATAGAAGTCTTACAGTACATTGTTTCCAGTATTAACACCAGTAAAGCTGAAAAGTTACCAAAAGTAGTTTTGAACAACTCTTTAATTGTAATGTTCACTGTGTCCTCCCAGCCCATCCTTAGTCCCAGCAGTCTGCATAAATTCAGCAGCTCTGTGAGTTTAACTGGCCTTGTAACTACAGGAAACGTTCCAGTGACAGATTTTGTAGCATTTTTTTTTAGATGTCAACAGAAGTGGATTTAACTCTATCTGGAGCAACAGACAAAAACAAGATATTTTGGGGTTTAACGTTTTTTTTTTTTTTTTTTTTGATGGATAAATCCACTTACTATCGGTTTGTTAGTTTTAGCGGTTAAAATAACCAACCGAGAAAAAGTCAATGGGGAATCTTCTGTCGTATCTTTGATTATCAAAATCCCGGTGTGGTTGTTGTGGTTACAGTGGATCGAACCAAAGGAAAGAAGAAAACATCCTCAACAACAACACAGATTCACCACTATTTATAACCTGCCCAGTCTGCTTTGTGACAGCAGAGAGGGATGAAGAGGAGGGCGGAGAGAGAGAGAAAGAGAGAGAGAGAGAGAGAGAGAGAGAGAGAAAGAGACAGAGAGAGAGAGAGACAGAGAGAGAGAGAGACAGAGAGAGGCCTATGAATTACAGAGAAAGGAAAAGACCATTGTAGTTTTTTTTTTCCTTGACTGGGGCCTTCTGTAATCAGTACAAATAGGTAAAAAAAGAGAAAAAAAAAAGCCTACAGGGCTTAAACATACTTGTTAAAGTTAGAAAGTGTTTTTCCAGTCGTCATTTATTCACTTAAGATATTTAACAAATAACCCTTTTAGAAAGAACCCTTGATTACAGCTGAGAATAAAGCCAGGCTGGATTACACGTTAAAACGATTCCCAAGATGGAATTTTACTGAACTGTGAATGCGAATGAGGGAAGGAAAACACAGATGAGCCCAGAAGGAGCACAGGTGCTTGTGTTACGACTGAAGGACTTTCAAGTTCCCCTCAGCAGAACCACAGAAGTAAAGATATGTAAGGCTAAAATCCTGCATGTGCACAGTCGTAACTTATCGATCAGCAGAGTTCCTAAACATTTTTCATATCTTAATTCCATTGAAAACTGAAAAATACTTCATGCATTTTCATAGGAAAATTGAATGCTGTAACTTAAACCATCCTGGTATCTTCAATGAGTCACCACCAGCAGTCAGTTCTGCAATAAATAAAATCCTCTGTCTAAAGACAGTTTCTGTGTGTCGGGCCAAAAGCTCAAAGATATTCCACAGTAACATGTCCTGGACGACACCACCAACTGTTGGTAAACACTGCTATTCCGCCTTATTTGCTTTTGCCGCTCATCTTTTAATCTATCTTAGTTTTACCAACTTAAACTAGCAGTTAGTTGCCAGGCTTCAGTATATTTACAAGAGTTCACTATGCTGATATTTGTATCCGGGTCTGGTTTGATGTAGAGTGGAAGGAAGAATCGATTGAAGTTCATATGGTAAAAAGCATAAAAGGAAGAAAACAAGAAAAAAAAAAGGGAAGGAAACACTGAAGGTAAGAAGGAATAACGCGTCTCAGGCTGAGTTCATGCAGCACATCTAGATGCTCAATTCCCATTCAGCTTTTTTGTGTGTTTATTCATAGAACTAATTAAATGCAACCGCAGTCAGACGTCTGTGTGAACGGTTTGCGACCTGCTCGTGCAGAACTCTGACGTCACACGGCAGCACACCGTTCATGGTGCTGCCGTAAAACGGCCATAAAACAGCTTTACTTAAAAGCTATCCAGAGTCGACACGATTGTCACAAGATCGTAACAAAACAACGTGAGCTAATCAAGAGAATGCGCCACTAGCGATGTCATTTTGTGGCACGTTGACTGCAATTTGTTTCTGCAGAGAAGTCAGTTTAGATGTGCAGTCAGAGCTGAGAGTGGTGGGATTGGGAGGTGACGTGCTTTACCGACACATAATTATAATTTTCAGCCATTGTTTATGTCTGGATTTGCCACATCTGGCTTCTTTTGGTGCAGAATTGAGACACTTGTCTCACGCCAGTGACATAAAAGTCGGATTAAATGCGACATGATCGTTCAGACAGCAGGTGCTATGATAAATATCAGATGCGTGTCTGCATCAGTACCGCATGTGGAAGTGGTAAAAGTCTGATTTTTGTGGACCGTTCAGACTGCTGTGAAAAAGTCCAATTTGGATGCTTTCCATATGGTCAAAAAAAAACAAACAAAAAAAAACAGCTCATTTTCCTGCTCTGCAAACAAATTTAACGCTTTTCTACACTGCATATAAACTCTAAATTAAATACATGCACAAAAAAAATCATGGAAAAAAAAAAGCAAAAGTTATCCAGTTAGTTTTATATCCCTACAACAAGCCTGTCAATACTCTCAAGTTAATATCATGACGTCCTCAACCCAGTCAAAGGGAAATCTAGCAAGAATACAAACAATAAACGCCTGATACAGGCAGATTATCAGCTAAACTGTAAACAACACCATGTACAGCTCCCTCTACTCTCTCTTTAGCACAGCCATCTTATCAAACTCTCTCCTGTTGTTACGTTTACACAAGTATTAAACCTGCAGCATCAGGTGCAGCTACAAATCTTGAAAACAACAACCTAAAAAACATCTTTGACAACAAGCTGATTTTTTTTTTAGAGTGGAGAAGTCGAGAGCAAGCGCAAACAAAATAAATGGAAAAAGGAAGAAAAAAAAGAAAGAAAAGCCACCATGGCCACAGTTTCTTTGGTACACAAGTACTGCATCTGTTATCTATAAGACCAGACACTGACTGTAAGAAATCCAGCTCAGCAGATAGCGGCGAGAAGGAGGATGGCTCAGCTGCACACACACTGAGAGTAACAGGAAAGATATGAGGCAGACAATGGGGCCACTAAAGCACCTCTGTGGCCAATATTTAAACTCTAATATCACAAGAGTTATGTAGAGCACTGAATATTTTCAAAAACAATCTGCCGTTTCAGGATTTTTAAAGCAGGGAATATCGCTCTAGTAGCCAAACATCCATGAGCATAATATGGTTTGAAACGGCAGCGAGGCAGAAAACGGACGAGTGGAGGAGTTTGTGGCGTACCTCTTGTTGATGGGCTTCTCGTGTTTCTCGTAGGGCTTGACGAACCACTTGCCGATGCGCACGAAGCTGCGGTTCATGAGGCAGCGCTCCAGCAAGTTGTGGATGGCTTTGAACAGCAGAGTGCGACACTCGTAGGAGAGGCCGTTCTCCCACAGGTCGTCGTCCTCGGCTGGAAAAAGAGAAACACAAAAGAGCAGTGACTCTCACTTCACCCGTTCGTGGCGAATCTCAGACAAACAACGTTCAGCGTAAGAGTGCGGAAAACAAAAACGGTGTGAAGAACGCTGAACTGAACGATGCCGATGCGACTAGCATGTGATATTGATCTACCTGTTTGAGATCAGGGATGTGCCGATCCACTTTGTTCATTTTCGATACCGATATCTGAAGTTTAATATCGGCCGATACAGAAAAACAGCTGAATTGACGTTTTTTTTTTTTAAACCGACATAATGCTTAATTACAAATGTATTTAATGACTCTGCACCAGTGTAGCACACCTAGAGCGTCCCTGACACACGTCAAAACCACTTACATGATTTAAGAAGTTGGACTACCGTGCTTTCATTCTGTGCACAGCTTTATATTTATAACCATTTCTCACAAAATATTAGGAATACACAGTGTTGCCGTTTTGGTCTGTACTAACTGGGTCAAAGGCCAGTGCCATCTTGTGATGTAATCAGGGTAACTGAAACCGTAAACACAGGTCGAGTACACAGAATCGGAGGATTCCAGCGAAGATTTAAGCGTTTTGGAGGAAGAGGCATCTTTAATTCTGGTTTAATTCAAATAATCCAATTACTCTAAAGTAACTGGTTCCAAGTCCTGCATTTGGTCAAAGATATGAATATTCTGATCATGGCAATCAGTAACCAGCTGTCCAATTCCTGCTGAATTAAATTTTCATATACACACACAAATTATACATATGCACACACACAAATGCTCATCCCAAACTCTCATTTTATATAGATTTTGGCGGAATACAAAGAGAAGCAGTACGAGATCAGCCTTTTCCAGCAGCAAAAACAAGTAAAACAAATGCATATCTTGTCCATTCATTTCAGTCTTTTGGCCCAATACGGCGATAAAACGACAACAAAAAAAAAAAAACTAACTCCTGTAATCTGTCGAGCGTGATGTTCAGGACACCGTGAAAATAACGGCCCGTTTCCTGAAATGCAAAACAGCGAGCCTGAATGCTGTCATTTACATGGCATCACGAGAAGATGCCATGTAAATGACAGCAAAAGTGCTCAGTTAGACAGAGCGAGGCTGGGTAGAAACCCTGCTGCTGAATCATTTTAAGCACCCAGGTCTCAATACAAGATGATTTAAGAAGGGCACAACGTTTAAGGTTGAGGAGCATTCTGCGTTTAGTTATGAGAACTGGAGTATCCAGAGCAAACCTAAGTCGATCAGTGATGCTGTACTTCAACCAACTGATGTAAAATGCTGCATAAGCAGTCTACATTTAAGCCCAGGTATTGTTCCCACACTAGTGCTGTTAAGCCATGAAACAGCAACATGTACAGAGCAAGATTCCAGTTAAACTTGTGTCTTGTGGATTGTGTGAAGGAAGGAGAAGAAGAAGAAAAAAAGAAAACAAACAACTACTATTTGGTACGACGGGCTACAAAAGACACAGCGAGCGCTTGCCTTGCTGCTTACAATAAAGAAGTGTGCCATTAGACCCGTATCAGTCTTGCTTTCTGAATCACATTCTGCGCTGGCCTGAATGCAGGTCTAATCTCATTAACAGCCACTGCTCACATCTTACAGCACTTAAGCTCCTTTCAGTCAAGTCTGCAGCAAACATCTCCCCGAGTGCGCCGTCTCCGCGTGAGCTCGCGCATAATAAGTACGGGGAGCGACGAGGAGGCACAAGATGGCCCAGAAGTGACTTCATCGGCTTCACTGAATGATTAAATGAGCCCTCCGCCTGCTGATTAAATGTGACAATTGGATAAATTTAGAAGGAACTAATATCTAAGAGAGTGGTTCAACTCAACTCCATCCAAAAATACTTTATTTGAAATTAAGGCTGAATTCACACCAGATCTGCTCAGTCCGCTTTAATCGAACTCCAGTTCATTTGTCTAGAACGTCCGGTTCATTTGAGGAGGTGTGAGTGTGTAGTCAAAGTCTGATGCGGACCAAATCAGAGAAACCTAGGCCTCAGTTTGGTTGAATGCAAATGTGAATGCAAGCGGACCGGAGACCGCTCCTAAAGCAGGAAGGGAAGCATAGCACAGGGCATTCTGGGTAAATTCAACAGTCTACCATCAGCGAGAGACAATGCTCATGGTCACTGACGAAAGAGAAATCGTACAACCGCTAAAATCTGACACCACTCCATTCTTGTTTACATCTTTGAAGATCAAGTCTTCATCGCCAGCAGCTGGAAATGCAGCAAATGTTGCAATTTTGGTCCCTAAATCAGACTGAGTCTATTGGACGATCAGTTGTCATAACTCATCATGAAAGTATCTTCAGTCGTCTGGGATGATGTTTTCCACAGAAACATATGGCGGATGACACCATCAGTTCCTGGAAAGCACAGCTGATCCAAAACATTTGCTTTTGTCGCACCTCTTCATATCTGCATCTGGGTGAAAGCCAGACGGAGAGACGTTGGAACTGGGGATAAGATTCAGGGCAATTATGACTATAAAGAGATGGTCTGGACTTCTACCTCTACTCTGCTCTTTGGTTCGGCTTAAGCCTGTTGCAATGAACAATTGATCACATTATAATCAATGAACTCTCAAACATTTCCATTCTGATGATTAATACTTTTTCAAAGTCAATTTTACTTTTTTTTTTTTTTTTTCTGTTGAGTGTGGTTTTGATTTCCATTTTGTAAATTGTTTTTGGTTGTGGTGTTTAATTTTGGATATTCAAAATATCTTCCAGTTAAAGTATGGGTTGTTCTTTACAAAATTAAAGTTTACTGGTCTGCGAGAGAGTGGCCTTGCATTATTATGCCATTATCAGTATGTTATTTGAAATTGGTCTCAAAATAAAAATTTTATTGTTTATCACAATAGATACTGGGGAACCCGATCAATTCCTCTGGGATTTGGGGTTTAGTGTCCTGTTTTAGATTTTAAGATGCCACTCAACCACTCCCATATGTAAAAGCTATATACGGTTGCCATGGTTACACATGTCCAAAAGTTTAAAAGCAAGGGCAAAAAAAAATCCTCCCAGCTACACACAGCATTTACGTAAAACCAGAAGGAACCACTGCCCATTTCAGACTCTTCTGGACTCCAATAATATGTAAACATGAAAAGCAGCAGAAATTTTGCAGCAGATAGTTTTATCAGGGTCAGGTGTGAAAATAAAACACCTGCAAAAATCACTGCAAGGACAAATGGAAGGCAAGAAATAAAGTATAAAACACTGCGCAGGAACCAAGTGGATTCTGGTGCCGCAGGGAGAGAAAAAAAACAACCAAGCTAGAAATTTTACTTTATCTTTTGTGACGATTTCACCATATTTCAAAATCATCCAAACTGTTTAAACCCCGATGAGAAGAAATTAACTAAATCCATTTAATTAGAGAGGTCGGATATTTCATAAGGACGGCAGAATGAAAAGAAAAACAGCTTTGTGTTTCAAAAGGAGCCATTTATCGCAACTCCACTAAAGCTCTTTATAACAGCTGTAACTCTAGCAGACTTGAAGTAGCCATAAAACCCTTACCAACAACCAAAGAGAAAAAAAAGCAACCTCAGGCTGGCTGCCAACAAACAGAGAGGACTTGAGGGGACAGGGGGGCTACGTGCACAGCCATTTCTGAGAGGACCCAAACTAATTCATCGGACGCAAGCGTATCATGAAGGATAAGATCTGGGAACATAGAAAAGTGGTGCAAAAGGCAGGAAAAGGGAAGGAAAACAGCAATTTCCTATTAAATATTTACAGCGCCGGCTAAATAACAACAGAATAAAGCCATTTACCTTTCAAGATATAGTGGAAGTAAACAGAGCGTGCAGAGAGTTGAGAGCTTGTTTGTTTTTTTTTTTTTTGTTTTTTTTTTAAACTAAGTCGGAGTTAAGTGATTTAGCAGCTGCTGCGGCCATCCTGAGACACAAGGCAGACAAGAGGGCAAAAAGTCAACCAGCAAAGAAAGTTCAACCCTCGAGGCACTCATGATGCATTAGGAGGGGAAAAGGAAGAAGAAGAAGAAGAAGATTCTCAAATTTAAACAGACTCGGTGAGAGCGATAACGTCCACGGACTGGGGGAAATAGCTAGTGTCTGGGATGAGGAAGACATCAAGCCGGCGTTTAAAACCTACAGCCTTGCTGCAGCGCTCCCCTCCCTTCGCCATAACCTGGCAGAAACCTCCCCACCCGCCCCTCCCTGCCAAGACCACATCTGCCTCTTCTGTGGCCCTCCCTGTCGCCTGTGACTCCTCAGCCCCTCCCTTCGGCAACAAGAAGCCCTTAAAAAAAACACAAAAAAAACAAAAAAAACACGCACACACACGCACACACACACACACACACACAGAGGCGTCTGGTTTGCATCAAATGTTCCTAATGACCTGGTGTTCGCCGCGCGAGGCCCTCTGCGACGCTCGCCACTTCAGACAGACCTAAGTAATGCTGCAGTCCAGGGCGAGCTTTTGTTCTCTTGTAAACAAAACAACACTGATTAGAAAGGACAATATCTGTGTGAAGCTTCCCACAGAAGATGCAGGCGAATAAACCCAGACATCCGAGGGGAAGGGCGACTTGCAGGAGCAGAGGATGAGGAGGTGGGGGTCGTTTTTTTTTTTTTTTTTTTTTTCCATTTTTAATAGCTTCTGAAAAATCTCTGTCATGGTCACCGCCTGACGATTGCAGGAAGGTTTCCTGGGGACAGAAAAACGACCAAGTCGGGGGGGGGGGAATTTTAAAGCTCGACTCCCCGAACATGTTTGTTGACCTTATTGCACTTGTCTGCACAAGTCCCCGAGCAACACCCATTAGTCTTCTTTGGGAGGAAAAAAAATAAAAAATAAAAACAGAACAGAAGTCTTAGCTGGCATTATCATTAATCCACTTCAAAGCATCTAAACATGCAGCAGCTCATGAGGGTTGCCTAAATAGCTACTTAAATTTTCGCTCCCATAAGTCGAAAAATTCATCTCTGTGAATGCATTGTCACTTTA